GCAAATTAAACACCCCCCCGAAAAATACCCCAGGATTCCCCCCCGAGATAAACACCCCAAAAAACGCCCAAAAAAACGCCCTAAAAGTAAAAAAAAATGGCCTAAAAGCCACAAAAGTGGCCTAAAAACCAAAAAAATTATCCCAAAACCCCCAAAAAATACCCAAAACCCAAAAAAATAATGCCCTAAAACCCCAAAAGATGCCCTAAAGCAAAAAAAAAAAATACCCTAACCCCCAAAAAATGCCCTAAAATCCCCAAAAAATGAATTAAAACCCCCTGGGAATCTCCCCATAAAAACGCCCAAAAAAACGCCCTAAAAGTAAAAAAAAATGGCCTAAAAGCCACAAAAGTGGCCTAAAAACCAAAAAAATTATCCCAAAACCCCCAAAAAATACCCAAAACCCAAAAAAATAATGCCCTAAAACCCCAAAAGATGCCCTAAAGCAAAAAAAAAAAATACCCTAACCCCCAAAAAATGCCCTAAAATCCCCAAAAAATGAATTAAAACCCCCTGGGAATCTCCTCAAAATGAAACACCCCCCAAAAAATCCCCCCGAAATAAAACGCCCCCAAAAATACCCAAAAATCCTAAAAGAATAACCAAAAAATGCCCTAAACCCCCCCAAAATACCCCCAAAAAAACCCCAAAAATGCCCTAAAAACCCTAAAAAATGAATTAAAAGGCGCTGGGAGTCTCCTCAAATTGAAACACCCCCCGAAAATATCCCAAAAATGTCCCAAAAAGCACAAAAACCCCCCCAGAAATTATCCCCAAAACCACCAGGGTCTTCGAGGTGGCCAACAAAGGTGAGACCCCTCCCCAAATTAATTAAATTCCCTCTAAAAATACCCTGAGAACCCCCTGGGAATCTCCTCAAAATGGAACAACGCCCCACCCCCACACCACACAAATACCCTGAGAACCCCCTGGGAGTCTCCTCAAAATGGAACGCCCCCCAAAAAATCCCCCCAAAATCCCAAAAAATTCCCCAAAAATACCTTAAAAACCCCCAAAATGCCCTAAAACCCCCCCCAAAAAATGCCTTAAAAACCTCAAAAAATGAATTAAAACCTCTTAGGAATCTCCTCGAAATGAAACACCCCCCAAAAATATCCCAAAAATCACAAAAAGATGTCCCAAAAATCACAAAAAAAGTCCCAAAAAGC